CACCAGCACCCCATACCCCGCCCCCCTTCCCTCTCCCTCAGGCAGCAAAAAGTCTAGGGAAACCCCAGTAGCAAACAATCTGATTGGTTGCCACAGTCAAACAAAAAAAGTTTTATACAGCGTTCTACATCTCATCTAATTTCGGCAGCATCTGCAAAATGTTATTTATAACCTCGCCGTTACCTCTGGTCTTGGTTATTTTTTTATTGTGTACGATAACATTTCTTTAAGTCGTAATCATTTTATTCTAAGTTTAGGAAGTCGACTTATTTGCGAGAAAAGAAAAAAGGCAAATGGTGGTCTGCGGGGAAATATACAGTAAAACTGGTGTATGGGGAAGTAAGAGAGAAGTCAGGAAACGGGTGCGATACTGTGACGGGACCGGGGTTTCCCCTATTATGTCCCAGATGTATCGCCGGGCCACAGTGGACCGCATGCAGCTCCCATCATACACTTGCATGCAATATGGCCGACTGGTGCAGCTGTCACTTCTATGCCGGTATACAGAGACTGATACGGAAGGTGCTGCTCTACAGGCTAATACAGACCTCAGAAGGTAGATTGACAACAGATCCTTCATAAGCATGCATGCTTGGATCACCCTGGTGTGCATGTTTATGGGGCCGGGGAAGAAGGACGCTTATCGCTGGTGCAACCTATCTTGTGGAAAGCAAAAGTGCAAAACTGCCTCGATCATTATTGTTTTGCATAGTAAAGGAAAGGGTTTTTGTCCCCTCCTATGTCCCATTGCGGAGATTTGCCTTCACCTCCTCACACAGAGACACAACGGAGCGTGAAGAAATCTCTCCAATGTGAGGGAACTTACTCAGGTCAATTGTCACAGGAACAAGCGTTGCCATAGGAAGGTTCCCTTCATTTCTTGTTCTGGTGACAACATAGAATTTTGGTTTGTCCTTCATTTTCAGTCTCCGGGCAAATGCAGAAGGGGACACGACATAGGTGATAGCAGAGGCGTATCTACTATAAAATGCACCTGCCCTATGGCGTCCCACCGTGCTCCTTGCAACCAGTAACATCATTGGTTGCCAGAAGCTGGGTGAGATGCTCTGGCTGGCGTCCGGATGAGCTCTTGGCCACTAGTAACATCACTGGTTGCCAGAAGCTGGGTGAGATGCTCTGGCTGGTGTCCCACCAAGCTCCTGGCAACAAGTGACATCACTGGTGGCCTGGGATTGGGCTGGATGCCCTGGCCGGCATCCAGTCGAGCTCTTGGCCACCAGTGACATCACTGTTTGCCAGAAGGTGGGTGGGACGCCGGCCATAGCTAGAAAAAGTCAGCTGTCTCAATAGATCAGTGAACTTTTGCTGGCCCACGGAGCGGCGCCCCTCTTTCAAGGTGTCCAAGAAATGTGCCATGCCCTGCATACGCTACTGGGTGATAGGCTCTATGGGAATTTATCCAATATCATAGATCGTATAGTCCCTTAGTCCCCCAAAAGCACCAGCCCCCCAACACACAATCCTCTCTGCATGCTGATCTTAAAACATCTTCTACTCTTTTGTCAAAAAAAACTTTATTATGAATTCCTGGTATAGTGAGTGAGGCACTGGTGACGTAGGCCCGGCCTCACCTCTGCACAAGGCTACATCACCAGTGCCTTCCAGGGAGATCTCCCCTGGAAAACACAACACCACAAAGTCACGTGAGATCTTGGTGGAATCGCCATGGCGTTATGGTGAAAAGGCTTTTGCTCTACATACCTTTGGAGAGAGGGAGAAGGGAGACGCTCCCTTGCTTTGCTGCACCTGAAACACACGGAGAACACGGCCATCAAGCAGTTCTAAGATGATGATGATGACAATTAGTAAAACAGAGCAGAGAAAGATGGCTTACCTCATGTAGGGCGTCCGCGCCATTCCGTTCATTGTCTGCGAGAGAATAATGAGATAGAAATCAGACTTTCATATCGGAGGCTCATAAAACCTGGAGGCAGTCCGCCATCTGACAGACTCCATGTGGCTGCTCTAGAATGTCAATGAGAACCTGCTACCATTATTGAACTAAGAACTAAAATCCATGAATTCAAATGAATGAAAGGGGCGGGGCCTGGGACAGTCAGGCTGAGGAGTAAAGAGCTAGATAATGCTGGATGAAATGGGGTGGCCTCTCTCCGACTTGCTGAAGCTTCTAATGCACATTGCGACAAGCTCACAGTGTGCAGTGACATCAGAGGAAGCAACTTCAGTCCAGGAGAGGAGCCGGGACAACTGTGCAAGACTAATGGGAAGGCCTGAGCTCAGCTTTAAAATGTAGAATGCAGTTTGCTAAAGCTCTGTGTATCAAGACACAATTGCCCCCCTCCAGCCTCTCTCAGCCCCTTCCTTCCTCCATCCTCTATTGTCTCCCACACACCATTCTTTGGACCGACTTCCTGGTCATAACAATGACATGCATGTTGGTGCGGCCGCTTGTAATCTCCAGCAGGGGAGCATGCGAAAGGGTGACAACGCAGGTGAGCAATTGGAAGACGGTTGTCACCCTATAACAGAAAGTGCCTGACCAAAAACCTTCATGGCAAGATTTCTGAAAATCATTTAAATTAAAGCTGCAGATGAAAAAAAAAAAAAATCAGCACATTTTGTATCCAGTCTCTGAAATGGCAGATCAATGCGGGTCGGGAATTTTTCCTATCAAAACTTTGTGTGCGATAATCTTTGATCTTTTTTGTAGATATAGAGATTGTATGTATGTATGTATGTATGTATGTATGTATGTATGTATGTATGTATGTATGTATGTATGTATATATATACACATACATATACACACACACACACACACACACACACACACACATATACATACACAGTAAAGTAAATATAAAACAAAAAAATCATAGACCTTGTGCCTATGGGGAAGAGGAATGGGTTATTGTCTGCTTATAAAATGCT